TTTGACATATTCCAGTATTTCAATTCGCTAACAAATCGTCATCATATTAAATTATTAAAAAGAAGCTACTGGAAAAATGCTTGATTTGCGAAAGCAGAAAGGGTTTGGTTTCATGTGAAGACAACTTTAAAAAATATACAGATAGCAAAGCATACTGACTTTTGGTGGAACGTTGGCGAAAGCGATTTTGAAAACACACAAAACACACCAAATTCTGCAGGGCATAAAATAGATAAGCAGCAGTAAAAAAAACGACTTAATTTCACATTTTCCAGAGCTCAATTCAATTTGCTTTTGCTTTTTCCACTTCCGGACGCAGCTTTACTTAACATATAAATTGCCCGACATTTAAAATGCAATTTTAACGGACTTGTGTTGCCAATGGCTGCCCATTTGTCCCGTCCATTCAACAGATATGCCCCCAACGCCACCTACTGTCCATATAAAAAACGTCCGGCATATGTAAAAAGTTTGTCTCATTAGGAGCAGCCTCTCAAAGCTCACGCCAAGCGGCTCTTCAAATGATTTATGGTGCGTCGTGTGGCGTCCCTTAACCCGCAGTTACCCTAACAAAAAAAAACCCCAAAAAAAAAACAAAAAAAAATCCCTTGTTATTTTTTTTTTATTGAAATACTTGAAGCAAAAGACAAAGTGAAGCGCACAACTCCAATAAAGTGAAAAAGGTGCCATAAATAACAAGCGGGAATGTTAGAACGAGCCTTTTTCTCTTCTCTTTGTACTATGGATGTATTTGCCAAGGGGACACCACGCTGTGAGTAAGATGCTACCTACAGAATATAAAAGTAAAGAGAGGAGAAAAAAGCACATAAAATCCAACAACAATAGTAACAATTGTAAACAATGAAAAGGAAAATCTTCCTAAATGCGGCACAAATTTTTCATTTATTTATTGAGACGAGAAGGCGAGCCAGAAAGCAAAAGTTGATAAAGTACGAAAAGGAAAAGTAAAATTTGTGCACGTTGCTTCCCTTTTCCGGCTTTTAAATGAAACAGACAATTCAATTTATGTTTATCTGACTCCCCAACAACAACAGCAACAACAACAACACCAAACAGCAGACAAACTTCATTAGATGGGCGGCAAAGCAATTTTAGTTGCTAAACATTTTTCAATTAAATACCCTAAAAATAATAAAATCACAAATATTTTATATGTTTTACCAGAACCGTAACTGTACTGGGATTATTTTACTATAATTGCTGTTTTATTGTTTTTATAACTAGTGATAAACTATAAATAATTTTCTTAGTTCTCAAATAATTTGCAACGATATCCGTTCAAGTCAAATGACTTCTGTCACTTTTAACAAAACACACTGCAGGGTATTACAAAGTCGAACACTTGAAAGTTGTATATGGCGCCTTGCCTCTGAGCGGTCATTGAGTATTATATTAAATTTTATATGTATATATAAATTCCCTAAAATACAATTGTCAGCTTAAAGCCGTAAGGGTGCCGCAAAACGCTACAAATAGCAAATGGAAAATGGAAAATGGCAAACATCAGGAAAAGTTTTAATGCGCTAAATCGATGAATGACCGCAAAAAAGTTTCGTAGTTGGCTTGTGGACACTTGTGAGACCAAATAACTTTTTTTTCGCAACAACCAAACGCTCTAAATGAGCGCCTAGAGAAGGATTTACAGGAAAAGAAGAGAGAGACAGAGGAGAGAGAGAGAGGGATAGAGAAAGAGGATGGAGCAGGAGATGTGTGTGGAAGGCAGTTAAGTTGCATTCTGTTGAAACTTTTGTCAAGGCTTTGGGCCATGTGTGTGGGTTTGGCTAACTTTTTTGTGTCTGCTGTCGACAAGTTGTGGCAACCTTGAGCAAGCTGCTGCCGTTGCACTGATAGGATACTGCATATCACAGCCAAATGATAAGACAGCAACGAAAATCACCTTTAAACTCGCTGCCAAAGTGCAATTCATTATTATGCAAAATAGCTGGCATTCAAATGGCAGCGAGGAGCGCATTAAATGAATTGCATAAAATTCATGAGCATTCACAGCACTTGTGTGTGTATATTTGTCATTGTTGTTGTTGCTGTTGTTGCAAGCTCTCTCGCCAGTGTTAGAATTAAAAGGTTGCCGCCCTTTCGCGCCCCATACACCCCTCGTTCCCTCAGGTGCCACATAATCCGCGTTTTTGTCGACGCAACGCGTCAGACTGTAAATAATGAAGTTTGCACCTGGGCGCCGCAGTGGCAGTGATTTGCGGATGGGCGTGGCCAAGGGGCGGCGAGTACGTGTAGTGTGCACTTAGACACAGTAAAGCAAAGATAATATAAATATGCGTTACACAAATACTGCATAAAGCAACGCGAACAAATTTATGAGCTCTGTTCAAATAAAAGTGGCGCGATAAATGTCAACAGATATAGAGATGGGGCAAGGAAGGAAAACCGCTGTTGCCAACAGACATGTAGACAGCTGACTGTTTTTTTCCTTTCTATACTGTTTGACACACTGAATGACATTATATATGTATATATGTACATATAACACTGGCCTCTGCTGTCAACCTATTAAGTCATCAATAAATAATTATGCAGCATAGAGTTTGGCATACGCCAGCACAATTTAGTGACAGGTTGACAGTAGAAAAAGAGGTAGAAGGACAAAGAGAGAGAGAGAGAGAGAGAGAGAGAAAGATAGAGAGAGAGAGAGAGAGAGAGAGGGAGTGAGAGTGATAGTAAAAAAGATAGAGAAAGCCAAATTAAACTTCGGGCAGGATTGAATACTCTTGCTTTATAAAAAGAAGATATGTTACACAAATCTAAGACTCAAAAAGAAATTAAAGAAAAACAGCAGCATAAAAACAAATAAATGTGTTCAAATCTAAAAGTTATACACACAAAAAAAAAAATTAGATCAAAAGAAATAGAAAAGCCGTTCACAAACTTTATAAGAAACAATTGTTTAATTGCATTCTGAACTCGTTTATAGCTCACTTATGAGCCGAAAACTGCTTACTGCGTACAGTAATAAAAGTTTTACACCGAAAACTTTATCGAGAAAATTTCATTAATTTCAAAATATTTTGATCAGCTAAAGCTACTGCGCCTTCGGTCTGGTCATTAAACTTAGAGCTTGTTATCTGGCTGCTGCTGGCTGGAGTGGCTGGCTCACTGGCTGGGTGACTGGCTGACTGGCTGACTGGCTGAACGGCTGTTGACATCTGACTCAAATCCTTGTTTAATGTCGGCGCTAAATTCCTTTGCTAGGTAAATACGTTTGGAACGTTGCGAGTCCCCAAACGCAGAACGTGATGCGCATTTTTCGCAGTGCGACTGTTCTGAGGACAGCAGTTAGAGAAACACACACAAAAGTTGCTCCAAAGCTTATGGCGATAACAGGGAATTTTTCTGGTGGCAGTAGGGGATCCTGATGGGGAATTGGTAACACGCAGCAACTTGCCGCACAGCAGCAACGGCAGTCGCCGCTGCAAGTTGACTGACTCCCAGTTGTAGTTGGCATCAGTTGGACTTAAAGCCCAGCCAAAATTCCCAAATGTCTGTGGAGGGCGCATTCATTTGAGTTACGGCATTAAATTGAGTGCAGTTTCAGTTAAAAGGTGCTACATTTTAGCCAGCAATATGCAGATGAAAAGCAAATGCCACCCATTCATCACCTTCTCTCCAGGGGAATGTCCATTTAGTTGTTGGCAAATGGAAAAAGAAAACCAAATAAGAAATTTAGTCGTTGAGCAGAGAAGTTGTTTATAGTACTCTAAATGGGCAGTTGACTAATTTACGCAGAAATTAACAGTATTTTAAAGAATTAAAGTTGTGAGGTAGAATTTGCAAAACTTATTTTGGTTATCAATAAGAATAAGAATCAATAAGAATCATAAATATTTCTACGATTAAAACAAACTTGAAACTGCACTTCATTTTGTTATGTTTATAGCACAAGGAAATAAATTTAGAATCAAAATTGTCAATGTATTTTGAATATATCTATTCTAACATGAAAATGGTAATCAATTGTTAAATTTCGATCAGAAATATCGTGTAATTTACCTATCTAGCTGATAATAAATCATGCTAAAGATGTTTAAAATACTCTGCTAATTGTGTACATTTTTTAACAGTTTTCCAGTTCCCCACAAATTCTCATAGTTAAACATATCTAAAAGTCAGATTCTATAGCGATATTTTTTCATATTTATTTGCGCTTATAAAACCTTCAGACCCTTTTCCAGTAAGTCACAATTAGTTGGTCACTGCATAAAGGCAGAAATTCAGTTTTTTTTTTTCTTTTTGCTTTTAGCATTTTAAAAGCTTAAAATTCTTTAGAAAAACTCGTTTGTACAGCGAGCAAAGTAATAAAATAAAATAGCCAGAAAAGAGCATAACTGAACTATTTTCACTATGGTTGCATAAAACAAAAGCCCGACCAGAAACATGGAAGCTAAAGATGGCAGGGCTTGAAGGAGCAACCCGCATAGCAAGTGGCAAGTTTTTGTTGCCAGTGGCATCAACACGGCCCGCAACATAAAAATCACATTTATTTTTGACACAGATAGCTATTGAAGCATAAAAAGTAGATTTTCAGTGCTTTTATTCTTAATATTTTTTTTAGTGGCCATTATCAGTGTTTTGATACCCATCAAATATTAAATCGAGTTGCTGGAAGGCATATTAAACTTGTGTAAAGTTATTTAAGTGGTCGAAGACACAAAATACATTCTCAATTTTTATTATTTATTATATTAAATATCTTATTCAATAATATACCTATTTATAACTACATCAGTAGCTCTTATCGAGTTGCATACAAAAGTAGCTCAGCATTAATTGATATTTCGAAACTGTTTACAGGGTATGCATATGTCCGCTACTCCTAAGCATTTCCACTTATTTTGCACTTGTTTCAATTACATTAAGACAACGCTAGCGAAGCAAAATTCAATTTCATATCGAAAGTAAAGATTTGTTATACTTATTAAATGTATTTTTTTATGTTTTCTTTACCACAGAGTCGACTTGTGGCGCTGAACAGTTCCGTTGCAACAATGGCTACTGCATATCCAAGAAATGGCGTTGCGATCGCGAAAATGACTGTGCCGATGGCTCCGACGAGGCACCAGGGCTTTGCAGTAAGTATTAGCCAAACGAGCATATATATGAACGATATTGGTTGCTAATATTTCAGCTTAAATTGTGCAGTGAATGTGTGCAGCAATTTCGGTTTCATGTGCCACAATGGGGAGGGGTGCGTGCCACGCACTTGGATCTGCGATGGCGAACCCGATTGTCGCGATGGCTCCGACGAATTGAAGTGTTGTAAGCAAACAGTTATAGCAACATTTGCATATATAAACTAACCCGGAGGATTTACGCAACCCACTAAAAAAATCCATGCAAGAAAAGCAATGGCAAGGGAAAAAGAAAAGAAAAAAAAGCAGCCTCATACATTCGCACACAAATGGGTTTCATAACTTAAAGGCTCATAAAGCTCGCATTTAAAGCATGATATTTATTTCAATGCACGCCATGTATATTATCCACCATGTATCTCAAACTTTATGACTTGGGTGGGCCTAAAACTTGGCATCACTTGTCCATAAATTACCGTCAAAAGACGCCGAGCAACATCGTGACGTGCGCATCAAAAATGCTGCTAGCAGCGGAAATAATTTGTATTTATGCATTAGCAAGCGACTCTTCTAACCCTGACAGCTGTTAAACGCCCCTCACCCCCCTGTTCCATTATACTCTGTGGTCATAAATATTGTTGCAAAGTGTATAAGAAACTTGGACAAATGTAATGCTTTGTTAAACGAAAAATTATCGAAGATAAAGTATGACTATATTTAAGCACCTTTTGATATACATCCATTTGATTTGATCATTTCATTAATTAATTAAAGTGATAAAAGGGTATTTGCTAGTCGTTCTAGTTCTCTCAAGTACTTCTCTTAAGCCATTTTTTATGCCCAGGATAGCATCATTATTTTTTACATATCGCACAATTTTTCGGCGCTATTTATTTAGCAATTTATAGTCTGTGTCGCATTCAACTAACTATGTGCCACGTAAAATATCCAAACTTTATTACGTTTATGTAATTTTTGTTTGTTTTTTTTTATCCGCTCTGTAATTGAAAAAAAAGATGCAATTTTTATGATGTAATCCACTCGTAACTCATCAGCGGATTCGCTGAAATAAAAACTGGTAATCAAAAAAAATAAATAAAAAAATTAAAGGAAAAGGCGCGCAAATTGAGTCTGTGGTTTTTTTGATGCCAGGCGGCGAGCTGGCAGGACTCGGCTCAACAAATTTAACATGAACCGAATTCGCTCTGTTGCACCTACTCCGCTCCTTCTTCCACCTCCTGCTTCTGCTCCTGTTTCCTGCTCCTGCTCAACTCCAGTCATTGAACACGTGTGACATTTTATGGCTTTTATGTGCCTGGCAAAAAAAAAAAGAAAGTATATTCAACGCTACTTTTTGACGTTTTATATCGTTGGCAACGTTGTGAATGTTAATTGAAGTTTAACGCGCGCAACAAAAAAAAAAGTTGGTTAACAGACAATCGCAAAATTCGACTAGGCGTTTAATGCATACTTAAATACATGTAGAATTATCAAGAGAGATATGGAGCCACATATATTTTATGATAGAATCTTTCATCTGTATCTTAATAAAATGTGCAAAAACCAAAAATAATCCTTAATCTTCTTATGATGCCACCCATTTTATACATGGCTTCCAAATATTTATCTTTGATTAAAATGCAACTATCAAAAATTGACTAGAAATAATCTTTAATCTTCTTAAGATGATTAAATTTATTATATATTTTTTTGCTAAATTACTCGGAAAGACAAAGAAGATTTGTCAACTAAATAAACCAAATCTAAATATTGTCTCTTACTTCCCTGCTATAATTGGACACTTTCTTTTACCAGTCATCATGCTATTTTAAGATATTTATCGCGCAAAGAAAGTTTACATTATTGAATTCTATCTCCCCTGACAACTATGAAAAAGAAAAGAACAAGGCTTCTCGGCACAAGTTCACTTTGATGCGAACACAATGCTCCACAATGGGTAAACTACAATGTACACAAAACTCAAACAGCTGCACTGAGGCATCAAACTCCATTGGCTTTGATATCTTTGGCGTGTGTGAGCGCATACTTAGCCAACTGCACGCCAGGCACATAAACTAAAAGCATTTTAAATAAAATTAAAATCAAATTGCAAGTATACTTACTCTTGTGTCAGGCTCCTCTGCGCTGCAGCCAGCGACAGCAGATAACAAGAAAATTCTATTGAATAGAAAACAAAAGTTATGTGCTTTTGTGTAAGGGTGTAACAGTGTGTGTGTGTGGGTGTGTGTGGGAGTGTGTGTATGTACGTACGCTATTGAAGCTGTTCTGAGCCTTTCATTGTAGCCAGCAAATTGATTTTTCCATGCCTGGCACAAGATGAAACCAAAGCAAGTCCACAGCAGGTTCTAGCAACTGGAACCGGGCACCGATGTCAGGCGACATGTCCTGCTGTTGCTCCTCTGTCCACATTTACGACTTCAGCAAAATAGTGGCATTAAAATTGTAAAATATATATGTACGGAAAGTAGAAGTCCTAGTCGCACTTCCACAAAACTAGCCAGCAATAAAGCTTATTTAATGAAATCATAAAAACGTTGCGTATGCGCAATATTGCAAATTGGTTTATATTGACATAATTTCGCTTGGAAATCTTAATTCTAATTACAAATATATCTTAAACCTATTTAAATTTTTGAAATTTTCACAAAGTTTGCTTGTTTCGCTTACAATAATTAACTTATTTTATATCAACTTGAATTCCTTATGGAGAAATTGTGGCCAATAAAATATAATATTGGAAGATTAACATTAAAACCGATTTTAATACATAGCATATAATAATTTGCGGCTTATAAGACTGCTCCTAGATTGCCAAATATGATTTCAAATCAATCAATGACAAATTATTGAGAAATGTAAGAATTATAAGAGTCAGAGCCAGAAACTTATTTACAAATTCCTTCTAAAATCTTCAGTTTGAATTTCAAGCGTAGAACACAACTTTATAATAAACAACAACATCAATTTTGCAAGCTTAAATCTGATCCTTGTTTTTCTTTCCATCTCAATTGGTCTATTAAATTTTGGTAATATTAACTTTTGCATCACGGAGTAATTCTTACTCTCAAACTGGTGGAATTCCTGTTGAATTCCATTGCCAAAATAAACGCGTTCGCTCGATAGCTGCAATAAATTCCAATTTAAGTCATATCACGAATACGACATGTTGTGCATGCAAAATATCAAATAGCAAAGCGTAAAATAATAATAAATTAATTTATTTGCAACGATGTTGAAGCTGCCAGCAAAAAAAAAGAAAAAACAAAAAAACAAAAATGCGAAAAAAATTTTGCGCATAGGTAACGTGGCAAATAACGGTGAACAACACAAACACAACAGCGTCAAAAAGCATATTTATTCAAGTGTGTGTGTATGTGTGTGTGTGTGTGTATGTCATGTGGTGTTATGAGCCTTTATTGCCCATGGCGCACTCGCACACACATCAGGAATTACATAATCTTATCAAGCAAAATCAAGCGAAGCCGAAGCAAGCACAAAACAAAGGACATTCAGTTCACGCGTCGAGTGGCAGGCAACAGAAACAAAAGCAAGTAGGAAAAAATAATACGCATTTAGGGTTAAACACAAGCGTTTTTATGTGTATACGTATACGTGTGTGTGTGTGTGTGGGTGTATGCATGCAAGTATGCATGTGTGTGTTTGTGTGTGTGTGTGTCTTGTCAGCTTTGTTAAATGTCCGTCTGGTAAAACTTCAATGAAAGTTTCAGGCAACAAGGCGGCTTTTATTACAATGCGTGGATCTAGCTGTGGGTGTGTGTGTGTGTGAGAGTGTGTAGAAGTCTGCGTGTTTGGCTGTGTGTGATAATTGCTTTAATGTGTACGCATGTGTGCGTTTTAACTTTATGGAGTGTTGGCTGATAATGTCTTAATTACTGCCTAGATAAAATGCCGCCCGCTTAGCCCCAGTTCGAGTTGCTCTATATTTCTAAATGAGTGCGCGTGTGTGTGTGCAAGTGTGATAGTGTGATTGTGTGATTGTGTGTGTGTGTGTGTGTGTGTGAGTGCTGGCACGACAACTATGTTTATTACTTGCTTGGCATGTGGCAGCCACAATTGGACTTTGACTTCAACTCCTGCTGCTTCTTATAAACTTAATTACAGTGCCAAAGCAACACTAGAGTCTCAAGGAGGCATCGTCATGATAAAAGTCTGTTGCACGCTTTAGGGCAGTGCCCCAACTAGAAACACACCCCTAAATGTGCTAGTGATGCAGTAATCAAAGATTTAACTAAGCAGCACCATTAGGCAGACAGTTAGAAGCCATTCGACATACATACAAACATAAATTTTTTACATGCTTCTAACACAAATGTTCGTTTTGTCTTTTAGTTGCTCTTTATACTCGTTTTTGGGACGACTTTAAATTTAGGCCTGGTTATCTTGGGCAATTTTTACAGCAGTTATGCTGCTCGTTACTGTTGGTAAACCACTTTATTTCATTTTGTTGAAATTCTTTTCTTTTTTTTTTGTGTCATGCCATCAATTTTTAACATTTTAATGTATTTTACGTATTTTATAGAATATTTTCATTTCGTTTTTTCCATCAGGCTTACAATTTTGCCATGTCAAATGGAATTCTTTGAATGTGTCAAAATTTGTGCATACAAAATATGGCAGACATGTTTTAAAATGCAATTAACATTTAAAATGTTTTAAAATATTATGTTTTCATAATCAATTTAATAAAATGGATAAACTGAGTTAATTGTAGGACCTCGTCATCTTTAACATACTCAAATCAATCAGAAAACATTTGGGATAATTAAGACTAAAATTGTTTCACTTATGCAGGAGTTTTCTTGAACATATACAACAATAATAATTTTTATCCAACACAACAAGGGGAAATCCTTTTACAGCTTCCAGGACACAAAGTCAAATTAAAAGTCTACGTCCCATCATTTGGCATCAGCATGTAAAACTAACACATTTGTTTCCATCATCTATTTGTATATTGCAGAGAGCAAACCCTGCTCACAGGATGAGTTCGCCTGCAAGGGCGGCGATGTGGGCTGTATACCGTTGGCCTGGATGTGTGATCAGAGCAAAGATTGCAGCGATGGCTCCGATGAGGCCACGTGCAGTAAGCCATCAAATTTTAATCTCTATTTTAACTGTAACTAAAGCCCTGTCGGCAGTAGTATCGTAATTCTCTTATGTATTTAGTTTAGCTGCTCTCTGTGTATTTGTGTGTGTGTGTGTGTGTGTGTGTGTGGCAGTTAGTGTGCGACACACTTAATTTTGCTGGCCATAAGTGTGCTACACATTGCTGCAAGAATTGTGTATTACTTACCTAAACAATACTCATGCAATAAAGCACAAATATTTACACACACTCGCACACACACACACACACACACACACACTGTCAAGCAGCAACACACAGCACACACTTTAGTTTGCAATGCTTTTGTTACATATTCATTGTATTTGTTGTTGTAGTTGTCGTTGTTGTGGCAACAAATCTCTTTGGTTTTTATCCCCTGGCGCGTTGCGTTGGCAATTTTTATAATGGTGTTGGTTTTGTTGAGTTATGTCTCACATATTTCAGTCTCTGTTCTTGGTGCTTTTAAGTTTTTGGCTTTGGTTTCCATGCTTCTTGTTTACCTAACTCTCCACAATTGTTAACCACAACTCATACTAGCATACAAACTCATTGCCATAAGTACCACTATGAAATTCTCCTTCACACACACACACACACACATACACATTCAAGAAATTCGTCTTACATGAAGATGATGATTTCCACAGATACCACCTGCCGCTCCGATGAGTTCACCTGCAGCAATGGGCGTTGCATTCAGAAGCGATGGGTCTGCGATCACGATGATGACTGCGGCGATGGAAGCGATGAGCGCAACTGTCCCAAAATCGAGTGCAACAGGAACAACACCTTCACCTGCAGCAATGGCGCCTGCATTCCCAAGGGTTGGGTTTGCGATGGCGAACCCGATTGCCCGGGTGCCGACGACGAGCGCGTAAGTTTTCATTGTTAATCATACTAGCTGAAAATAAGCTCAGCTGCACTAAATAACCACAAATGCGAGAATTGATCCAGAAATTGAAGAAACGAAAATGACAAGTTATTGAAATAAATATTTGAGCTGGAAATTGTTGCAATTCATAATGAGCACAGAATGATTATAAACTTTAAGCAGTTATTGCTTTATTATTCATTATTATTTATTTAGGGTGAATTATTTAAAAAAAAAGTATTTAATAATAATTATATATCAACGAAATCTAAGTCGAAATCTCTCAAGCAACCCGCGTGCAAATATATATTTTTATATGCTTACTGGGAAGCATAAATTATGCAGCGCTGACGCATTACTCAAAGCCGGCAACGTCGACGTCAGCGTTTGACGCTGGCAACTGATTGCAAAAGAGCAGTTATGTGAGCGATGCGCAGCTTTTGTTGTCAGCCCGGCAAGCAGCTCCAGTGGCAGTGGCAAGCAGGTCGCAGCAAGCACCAAGCAGCAAGCAACGAGGCACTGTCTAAAATTGCTTGTTGAAAGAGAAAAACTATGCGCAAAAAAAAAATGTGAACATTTTTGCAAGCAGCCCCCGAAAAGTATGCAACTTGAGATAGTATGCCAGCAATGGACGAAGCCATCCCAGCAACAAGCAAACGCTGTACTGCATATTTACACACAACTGTAAATATTTCTATATACATATATATAGATATATAAACATCTGTGTGTGCTGAACTTGGCCGATTGCGTAGTAGCTGCTGTGCATATTTCAAGTAAAGTTCGCTTTGACAGGCAATGGTCAGGATGCATTTTTAAGGTCAACTATGCACAGCAGTCCACCAATTGCATTGTCCACACACAGACCACAGGTGTTATAAACTAAATAATACTCTCTCGAAATTATACTAATAGTATTACTAATATATACATATTTTTTCAACTTGTCCTTGCATTTTTACTTTGCTAATTCTTACACTGTCTATCTCTTAATTTCATCTTTACAGGACTGCGCCAAGTCGCAGGTGATTGTGACGCCCTGCCTGGCACATGAGTATCAGTGCAGGGATCGCATTACCTGCCTGCACCAAAGCTGGCTCTGCGACGGAGATCGCGACTGCCCCGACGGCGACGATGAGCATGCCTCGAACTGCAAGAACATCACCTGCAGACCGGATCAGTTCCAATGCGGCGATCGTAGCTGTATTGCCGGCCATCTCGCTTGCAATGGGCAGGCGGATTGTGCCGATGGCAGCGATGAACGGGAGTGCAGACTGAAGGCTCAGACTAAGGGCTGCAACGCCACTAGCCAATTTGATTGTGGAGGCGGACAATGTATTCCCCTATCCAAGGTATGCGACAAGCGCAAGGATTGCCCCGATGGCGAGGATGAGCCGGCTGGCAAATGTGAAGTCAATGAATGCGCCTCGAGAAATGGTGGCTGCATGCATCGTTGTGTGGACCACCTGGTGGGTTACAGCTGCGATTGTCACCAGGGATACAAACTATCAGGAGACAATCGCACCTGTCTGGATGTCAATGAGTGCGAACAACCAGGTGTCTGCTCCCAGATCTGTGTGAATGAAGTGGGCGGCTTCAAGTGCGAGTGTGAGGCGGGCTACATGCGAGATCCTCGGAATCACACACGCTGCAAGGCAACCGAAGGACACGCCTCGTTGCTCCTGGCACGTCGTCATGATATACGCAAGATTGCGCTGGATCACATGGAGATGACATCGATTGTGAATAACACAAAGTCTGCGACGGCGCTGGACTTTGTGTTCCGCACGGGCATGATCTTCTGGAGCGATGTGACCACGCAGAGCATCTACAAGGCGCCCATCGATGAGGGCAACGAGAAGACCGTGGTGCTGAAGCAATCCTCTGTTACGTCGGATGGCCTCGCAGTGGACTGGATCTACAACCATGTCTATTACACGGACACGCACAAGTGCACCATCGAGCTGACCAACTTCGATGGCAATATGGGCAAAGTGCTGATCGAGGATTCACTGGACATACCACGCTCCATTGCCCTGGATCCCATTGAGGGGTGGATGTACTGGTCGGACTGGGGAGCGTCCCCACGCATCGAACGCGCCGGCATGGATGGCTCCCATCGCACCACAATTATCAACTATGATGTGAAGTGGCCCAATGGCATCACTCTAGATCTGGTGAGGAAGCGCATCTACTGGGTGGATGGCAAGCTGAATGTCATCTCCTCGGCCAACTACGATGGCTCACAGCGCAGACAAATATTGTACTCCACGGAGTACTTGCGACATCCCTTCTCGATAAGCACCTTCGAGGACTACATCTACTGGACCGACTGGGACAAGCAGACAGTCTTCAAGGCCAACAAGTTCACAGGGGAGGATGTGGAGCCCATCACAGCTGTGCATATGGTGGGTAAACTTAAACATAAAGAGGATGATCCTTATATATATATGCTTATTACATTTTCTACTCGCTCACAGCTCCAACATCCCATGGTCATTCATGTGTATCATCCGTATCGCCAGCCCGATGGCATTAATCACTGCCAATCGGTTAATGGTCACTGCTCACATCTTTGCCTGCCGGCGCCGCGCATCAATGAGCGCAGTCCTCGCATCTCCTGCGCCTGTCCCACGGGCCTCAAGCTCATGGCCGATGGTCTCATGTGCATCGAAGATCGTAAGTAGCTTTGCCGTTTACTGTTTTTGTGGGTGGGGTTGGGGGATAGTCTCGGCGTAAAATGCACTTTGTGAACGCATTCGAAGTATTCGATGCACACAGCCGGAGTAGTGGCAGCTGTAATTTTCAGCACGGCCCTCTGCGTTCGCGGTTGAATGGCAACGTGTGCTTGTTGTGGTTGCTGCAACCACGACGCGGCAGTTGAGCCTTATTAAGGCCATTAACATGTGCTCTGATGTTATTTCCATTGTAATTGCATTTCGTTTTATGTTTTTTCTTTTATTATTTATTTTGTTCAAATTTAATGTTTTCCCCTATTGTTTCCGGTTGATAGAACACATACGCCCCGTGCAACCCACGAGGCGTATTAATACAACAGCAAAACCAACTACGCCTGCAATAACATCGCCAACGCCAAAATACGCGAAATTACCGCAAGAAGCGGCCAGTTTAGCGCCGGGTATGAATTTTATTTTCCATTTCTTTTATGCCTGTGCTGGTGTTGGTAATTTGTATGTGCAAATACAAATTGTAGTTTTTCTTTTATTCATTTCTAGAATTTCCTTTTTGTGTTTACTTTAAAAGCCTAGAATAAATCAAAACTGCTTATACGTATTCTATAATTTGGCTTTAAATTATTATTTATAAGAAATTAAGAAAAGAATTTTTAAATATTTTTGGTAAAGGTTTTTACATAATTATAATCTCGTCCACTCACATTTATTCAGGTATTGGTTGTTGGTAGCTATTCTAACGTCCCCGTATACCATATTAATTGTAACACATTATTTTTGCTCTGTTCACTGATTGTTTTTCCCAATATATATGTGTCTCATTATTTGTGTGTGTTTATACCTGATTGCCTCTGCTTTCTTCTTTTATCCACTCATAACTTAATGTCTTATTGTGATAGCAACAAATACTTCACACACAGGCAGACATACTCTTCAATGTATGTAAATGGTTCACGTTCCCTCTTTTAATTTTGTATGCCATTTGTCACGGCAATTTCTTACACATGCATCCAGCGACGCCAACGCTCACATGTCATCATCATAAATCAACATCAATGATATCGACATAATCACTCAAAATACACACACACACACACACACACTTACAAAGGCAGCCACAACAATGTTGTGCCACGTAAAACATACATAAATATCTGGTAGGGGTAAAACCAACGAAAAGGATGCGCTAGTGACATGTTTAATGGCAACAATGGTTGCCACCCAAATACCCAAGCATCGTCCGCAACCCATGCCACAAGCTCAAAGGCAGTGCCCGCTTAAGCGACAACCCTATGACACTTACACCCAAGCATTTCTGCATGCAATTTGTGCGCAACTCTGCCAAAAGCGATGACAATGCGGATGCGAACAAGGATGCGGATGTGGATGTGGATGTGGATGCCGATGATGAACGGCTGACAGCCACAGTGGCAGCTGACTGGCTGACTTGCTGACTGGCAAGCGTTGTCATCGTCGCTCAACAAATCGCCATGAAATTAAATTGTACACAGCAACGACATGGCCAATAGCAATAGGAGCAAGGGTTACCAGCCTAAGGGTGGATGGGGATGGGGGATGGGGTTTATAGGGGTAGCAAATAGTTTAACCAGATATTCATCATCCACATCAGTCACACATTCGGTCGCATTCATCAGGATGAAAATTGGCTCTGTCAACAGCTAGAGCTGTACATTATTGCCATGTGAAAAACGTGGCGCAAAGTTAAGAATAAATTACCACAGTGTCCGCCGAAAATATGCAACACACGCAGACAAAATATGCAAGCATTGCTTCTATCTATGGTTCATTTACATTTGATTGTCGCGCCACCAGTTAATGATGCCAATTGGGAAAACCAATTTCTTTAGCCATTACTTTTGATCCATTCAAAACGATAAAAGATAAGAGGTCCTGCACAACAGTTCTGAGAAGTGAATACAATAAGCACAGAGATACAAAAGAAATCTATAAAAAAAAATATAAAATGTTGCAAATAACGTTGAAATCAAACAACAAGATTCTCAGACAATCGCAATTACATTGTCTTTTTCTGCATGCTAAACTTAAAAGAAAATTGATTTCTCGCCAATCAGCTAGAGTTCTTTGCAGCTGCCTTAGCAACTTGACATTTTCACAATTTTCACAACACAACAATTTAATGCTTTCAGCATAGACAGTGGATTCCCAAAATTATTTAACTTTATTTTAAAATTTTACATTTAACTTAAGCTTAAATTAAGAAGAAAATAGTGATTAACAAATTGCCCAATTAGAGAAAACTTTTCATACAAGCTGGCTTCCGGCCAACCTGGAAACATACTGTAATTATTAAAAGAGGTCACCAAACAAACAAATCAAGTCAGTTTTATAATTTAAATTGCTGTTTTCAACACTTTTTAGTTACTCAAGCGATAAAGCTTTCACTTCATTTAGCTCACATGTTTAATTAATTCCTTTATGATTCTCTTTTTTGACCAGAATACCCTTGATAAAATGATGCGCTTCACATGCTTAACCACATTTCACATGCTCATGTTCATTTGAATAACACTTTTGGCATTTTTGACAGCAGTATAATTTGAGCAGTGCTTTAAATTTAATATTTGTTTGCTGCTATCCCCATGGAAATACCTTTTCACCACGTCACATGTATTAATCTGACCAGAAAATATGCTGGTGGCAGACCCCACTTTGTTGGTTGCTATGCCTACCGAAATCGGCTTCTTCTCGAGCTGAGCACTTGGCTTCCCATAGAAATGCCCCTAATTACGCCAATTTAAAGGAAAAAGAAAAAAAAAGAAATGAAAAAAAAACTCAAATGAATAAAGCAGAAGAAAACGCTAAGCGGCTCAAGTAAATACCGTTACGTTTCCGCAAACCTGCTCGAGTGCAATACAATTCCAAGGAAAATAATGATGAGAGCAGTTAAGGACTCCAGGACTTAGCGTTGGAGTGCTTAGACAAAAGTTTGCCGAGCCCAAAGATGGGAGATGTGGCGAGGGATCAAGTAAATAACTATAAACTAGTTAAGGACTATTTCAATTAGATGGCCCAGCCAAGGCAAGCTGGCCATAACTACAATTTCAATTAGCGGTTTGCGCTACTTTTCCCATGGCCAGCAGTGTTGAGCAATATTCGCGCAACTGTGACTGCCACGCTGTGATTGACAAATATCGTGACAGACTGTGACTGCTTTTCTAAAGTATGTCCCCATATATTAAAATGCACAGTTCGATTATATATGTAATATATGAAATATATATATATATATAGATATACATATTCCAGTTTCAGTTCCCTGAAAAAAATAAACCCAAGTACCCTTTCAGACTGACACAAAAAATACAATGATTTAACTTGTAGGCCAGAAATTAATATACATAATAGGGGCTTATTAACAGCGACTGACATTGGAAAATAATAACTGTAACTGTAAAGTAACAATCTCGCCCATCTTCCATAGCCACCCAGCCACCGCCCCATTTGATATTGCTTAATTAAGCGCAGGCAAGCTCTGCAAATAAGGCAGGCGAAATGACAGATAGACAGTGCCACGAAACGTCATAAACTCTTGGCAGACGTCGAAAGTAACGACTGCATTTTTAATAGCCAACACATAAAGTGGGTGCGGTGTGGGGTAGCTTTGTGGTTGCTGTGTGGGTCAGCAGCTGTTTGCAAATTTGATGACTTTCCGTTGGCTGCACTTGGTCAGCAGCAGCCAGTTTGCCCAACTGGCCAACGGAACTTTGTAGACGGGGATGCTTTAAATGGGCAACAAATGCCACACGATTGCCCTATCTACATACATATATCCGACAAAAGTTTTCAACTTTGTTTATCTAATCTGGCCACACACGAAAGAACAAAAAGTATAAGGTGACATCCCCAACGGCAGCATTTTATGCCTTTTTATTTCATTTGCTTAGCTGGGAACTTAGGCGCAATTTTTATCGCGCATTTTTATGTGAATTTCGTTCGGAAACGAGCTCGAAAAAAACACACACACACACACCTGGTAGCAGACACATTCTGCGTCTGAGAGCCTCTCAAGCACTTTAAAAAAATCATATAAAACATATGTGCAGGATTATAACAAAAAACAAAAAATAAAAAAAAAGAGCGCAGAAATAAATATGGGGAGCATTACTTTGTTTTGTGCTGCGGAGCAGGCAAATTGCATTTTCTATAGATTAGGGAGGGACAATAATATATGACATTTATGGGAGTACATAAAATATGGCAAACAGAGAGGGCAGATGGCCGACTGTCAGTAGCAATGTGTTCCCAAAACTGGCTACAAGTATTAAAGTATTTACATAAATAAAATGTTAAGAAAAATTCAAGAAATTTAGTTAAATTAATACAAGTAGAACTTATCGCTTTAATCAGTAGTACTTGGCCAATATCATCGCATATATTATTTGACAAAAATTTAATGAAATTCTGTTGAATCGCATCAAAAATTTGTTTTCCGAACATCTTTGCATATTAAATTTGGCATATTTCACAGCTGTGTAACCTTTTTAGCTGTGTCGGAAACAGAATATAAATTATAGAAAAGTTGACTGGCCCCTGCCACGAATTCATTTGAAGGAAGCTTATAGTATTATATTAGACACCCACACACACGCACACATATACATATACAAATAGACACACACAACGTGCAATTAATGTGGCAAATATGCGTAGAGCTTTCCAACTGCTTTTCTTTAGCCACTTGACTGTCTGTTATTGCCTCAAATAAATTGCTAGCACCTACGCAGAACGCAACCTACAAATATCCATCGTCTGTCTTTGGCTTTTCCCTTCCCAATTGCCACTGACAATTGATGCTGTGCAGCTGTTGCCACGGCCAACTTCTAATGATAATTCCTGCTGCTTGCCTTGCCATATGCGTCACATTCTCGTACTAATCCGGCTCGACAGGCGGCCAGTTTTCAGTTCATGGAAATTCCGACAAGCTATAGCGAAAAAAAATTAATAAAATCAACAAGGAGAACAAAAAGCAGCAAAGATGAACAATCATAAGTCGCAGATGAAGAGGCGACAGTTCGTGCAATGCCCTTAAATGCGGCACATCCTTTGCCAGGCGAACGCGTTCTGCGCCCCGCGTCCTGTGTCCTGTGTTCTGTGTCCTGTTCTTAGCTTTTGAACAAATTCTAAACGGAAAATATGAAAACGAATTATGTTGACAGCGGAAAAATCCTACAACTTCCTGTCGCACAGACAACAACCTTACAAAAGGCAAAAAGCGTGACACAAAAAGTTGACTACTGAAAAAACCGAGCACAAAACGGATGTGGGGAGGAGTATTGGTACAGCTAGGAACACGGTGAAAATATTCACCACGGGACGTCGACTTTTTCCCCGGTGCAGCTCAAAAAAAAAAACGCGATATTTTAATTATATTTGGGTTGGACAGGATAACCAAAAAAGAAAAACAACAGAAGTCAAGACACGTCAAGTGTGAACCCCTGGAATTTTTACTTCGGCTAATGCTTATTAAGAGATATTAAGGACAATTTCTAGAAGAACGTGCTTAAAACATTTTGCTCAAATTAATCGACTTATCCAAAAGTAATTGGATTATTTATTTAACTTGATATGTTAAAGAAACATGTGAAGTATATTTTAAATAGGTTTTTTATTTTTTTATTTAGCTATGACTTATTAGAATGGTAATAATTTAATTAAGTGAAGTATAGTGGGTTTTAAAGAAGAGAGAGTGCTTAAGACAATTTACGTTAAATAATCGACGGATGTAATAAGTAATTTGATTACTTTTAATGAAATAGGCTTAAGCAAGATGTGTCGAATCTTGGAAATGTATTTTTTTTATTGGATATGGTCTTCTTTTATTCTAATAATTCCTTTACTTTTGTGTACTTATTTTGGTTTTGGTATTAAACATGATGTGAAATATATTTATAGTTTGAAATGAATAAAACTCACTGTTATTTTCCTTCTCTTTTGACCCTGTAGACACTGGCATCGCTAAGAACGCGACTCACCCGGACAGCAGCAGCAGCAGCAACAACACTGAGGCGACGCAAACAACGGGCAGCGACTCCGGCAAAATAGCCCTAATAGTCATAGGCGGGCTCCTTTTCGGAACTGCTATTATATGCGTAAGTAGCAGCTATTTGTTTCGTAGTAGCGAAAGCTAGCAGGTAGCAGCTAAGCAACTAATTTGTATTTCCTTACTCGACAGATCTTCTACTGCCTTATCAAGAGATATCCGAAGCGCGGCAATACGATTAACTTTGAGAATCCCGCGTACAATAAGACCACTGAGGATACGTTCAGTTTGGAGAAGAATACGTCGATTAATCGATACGTCCCGGCCACCGAGGAAGAGGTAAGCGGGTCAATAGTGACATCAGCGACAAATCCAAATCCAAATGACTTTAGCTATGTGAGATTTTAAGCTGGCCGACAGCAAACAGAGTTTTAAACTTAAGCTAGAACTAAATGTTGTACATAGATGGATAAGTAGTCAATAGGGTTTAAGCCACATCTGCATTCAACCAGAGAGACTGGCAACTATTTAAGTTTTATTGTATCGGGCTAAGTATAAACTATGCATAAGTAATTGAAGTACAAGTTGAGAGATATGCCATTCTTGCTGATCGTTGTTCCGGCAACTAGCCAATATCTGAGTATTTATACCTAACAGTTAATAATAATATGTTGTATCATAAATTTATCATAATTCTAAATATTATCTCATAAGTGTGTCTAACAAAAATATGGATGCGCGCTTATGTACTTATGGGTTGTAGCGAAATTAATGGGGAAGTTCTATTGTTGAAAAAGAAAATATCTCAATAGATTGCAGTTTAAAAGAAGAAGTGTATTGATCACAACAAAAGTAGCTATAGAAATATAATATCCCAAAAGCTAATAATATGGGCTCTTGGAGAGTACAGCAGGCGCTTTAGGAGTCTTTATCGAATAAGTCTTAAAATAATGACCTTAGTAAATTCTCCAATTTCACAGTATCCATTGTAAATTTCCTGATGCCCTCGGCTAGCTTATCACTGGCCATGATATCCTCATTCATTAGCCATCTGAATTTGTTTTCATAAATGCACATTTTCCTAATATTCTGCTGTTTGGCATTTGATACGGATAAGTGGATTTGAACATCATTTCGATCAGCCTTCAATTCACTTAATAAAGCTGGACTAATCGTAAGCAGATCACAGCCAGCCAATGCTTTAATCTCGCCCGTATTTCGAAATGAAGCGGCCATAATCGACGTCTTGTAGTCATACTTCTTAAAGTAATGATAGATTTTTGTAACAGATATGACGCCCGGATCATTCTGTGGCTGAAACGTTTTGATACTTGTATTTTCCACATGCCAATCCAAAATACGACCCACAAATGGCGAGATTAATGTTACTCCAGCCTCCGCACAGGCCACAGCCTGAACTAATGAGAACAGAAGCGTCAGATTACAGTGTATGTAATACTCTTTTTCCAGTATTTCGGCGGCTCTTATGCCCTCCCAGGTTGACGCTAGCTTGAGAAGAATACGATCTCTTCTTATGCCAAACGCTTTATATAAGCTTACCAATTTTAAGGCCTTCTCCACGCTTCGTGACGTGTCGAATGAAAGGCGTGCATCTATTTCAGTTGATACCCTGCCGGGTATGATTTTCAAAATTTCAGCTCCGAATAACACGCATAAATAATCCATTGCTTCCTCTACTTGATTGGTCATCGAGCCGCCCTTAGTTTTACCATAGTTAACTGCATCGTTTACTAGATATTGATAGCGCTCCATAATGGCAGCATTTAATATAAGCGTTGGATTAGTAGTTGCATGCGTGGGCTTGAACAAATTAATCGCCTCAAAGTCACCCGTATCGGCGACTATGGTAGTGACCTTCTTAAGCTGTTCCAAAGCTGACATATTTAGCTATCTTTTTATAACTTCTTTCACTTTTAATTTTGTCAGCCAAAATTAAGTTAATATTAAAATTATTTGAAACCAAGTTTGACACTTTTAGCTATTTTACTTGAATAAGTTAACTGAGGTTGGTGCTCTCCAGATATGCTTTCAGCATAGCAGATAAAACCATAGATGTGTATTTAATTAACAATTACTCCTCACTTTTCTGACCATGTCAAGCTATTTCAACCATCCAAACACAATTAATGCTAAAGCGAAGTTGTCGAAACGTTATGTAGTCTGATTAAATATGTATTCATATTCAAAATAGTGTAAAAGCAATTGTTTAAAGAAAATTATACTAAAAATGATCACCACTGCGGACCAAAATATTTTACTAAATAATAGATTGCTGTACAATTAATATGCGGCTAAATAAATGCTGTATCTGCAATGGTATTTAAACTTCGGCAGCCCGGAGATGCCTTTCCAGCTTTCCTCTCAAGCCAATACCAGCTATTCACATTTAATTACGACAATTATGCATAAATTGTATGTGCATAATCCCGTTGACATACATGACTTCCCCGTATATTTATCCATATTTATTTATGCATTCTGCACGCTGCGAGCGAACAAAACAAAAAATTATAAACATAGCCCATAGCGAAAGGTAAGTTGCGGCATGCAAAGTAAATAAATATGCACAATAATTTCAATTGGTATTATTTTTATAACGTTTGTTGCTTATAATTGCGATTTTATTGCTGAATGATTTAATTTATGGCGAATTAATAAATCGGCAAAAGCCACATAACACCGGAGGGGCCAATTATTTGTTGAAAACTAACTGACACAGCAATTCACCGCCTCCTATAGGCCATGCCATATAATTGAATGGCGGCTATATTGCAATACAATCAAGGTTCGCATATCAATTGGCCAATTTGCCAAAAGAGTGCCGTTTAAATGTGCCAATGGAGCGTCAAAAATGCATTGTGCTGAATTTTCAGATAATTTACTAAAATATTTAAATTAAATTGTATTTGCATTTTTCGTCTCGCCTTTTACCCTTTTTAATTAGCACGCCAAATTTTGCTGTTAGCGGCGAAAAACAACAAAATAATTATGCCAAATTAAGCAAAATGTCATTAAGCGTGATTTTCCATTGCGCTTGATTACCACAGAAATTTTCATTGAAATCAATGCAAATTAATGTAAAATCCGTTCCTTTTTTTTTTGTATATTTTAAATGTTTAATACATAACATCATTCTCAATTACGTATTTTGCTTTTGTATATTTTTCATTTAAATTACTTAATATTAATATCATATAATGTTTTTCCATGTTTAGTTTTTTATAAATGTTAATCTATCTATGCATATATTATATTATATTATGTTATTAAGCCTAGTTTGAAAATAACTTTTTTTATTTTTATTAAATGTATATTTCTCTTTGAGTTTAATACAATAGTTTATTAGTTTTCATATAGTGAAGACCTTAAAATTACTGATAATATTTATATGTTTGGCCTCTTGGTAATATAATCTACGTTTTCGGAGTTATTTTGTCATATTTTACTTTATAATAAAGTTTATGCTTAGAATTATATTTATTTGGATAACTTCTCACTTGTAAACACTAGAAAAATATTTCTAACAATTTTCACTATCCTTTTTTTCCGCCTCAGGCACCGTTACGAGATCAGGGCATAGAATGCGTCTGAAAGACACCATAAGCAGATCATATATATAATGAGACATATCCTAACTGCGTTTATCAAGAGCAGCAGCTACAACATAAACAACAACAACATGAAAACTCCTATTATCAAGTCCTTTAAGTTTAAGGCAACTTACTCAAAGAAACAAAGAGGAAAACTTTTGTTCAGTAAGTAAAAAGAAGCATGCCAAAAAAGACAACAACAACGTAAAGCGAACGCACAACTGCTCAGAATATTTCAATTACAAAAACTACAAGAAGTAGAAGAAGAAGAACAAGAACAACTAAATATTATCATGGGGAAAAGAAAAAAATACTCAACAAATTCAATTTGTTGCTTAATTTAAAATGTAACTTAAAATGTAAAATTAGCATAAGCCACATAACAGACACGCCCACGTTCACACTCCCATAACTAATACACAACTATTTCTAGGCGCAACGTTTTGACATCAACTAACAGCGTCAAGAGACACATAGACACACACACTCACACACACACACACAACATTTGTATGTACATTCATACCCACACACTAACACACACGCACAGGAGCGAGCCTCAAGTCACACACAGCCCGAAACTCAACATTTAATTCTTTAAGTCTTGAAATAAATTGTATAAAGTTAAGAATTAGTAAATTTTTGGTTTCTGAAGTTACAAAAAATAAAAAATAAAATACAAAATTAAACTTTGAAAAGAAATCATAATAATTAAGGTATTTGCAGCACTATTAATGAATATTGTAAAATTTAGATAAATATTTTTTGTTATAAGAAATATAAGAAATTGAATTAAAAAAAAAAATTATTTAACATAGAAGTTGGTTCATATTTAGCAAAATTTTTAAATAAATTTTTTATGTAAATACATTTTTGGGAAATAATAAAGAAAATACACTAAATCTCTACACATATACATATAAAGTAATATTTTAAAATTTCACAACACGATTGTTGTTGCCTATATTTCGCTCGTTATCTTTGGGTATTCAGAACAATTTGCTGTGATCAGTTTTAACATATTAAAATACTATTTCGCAATTTACTTTTAATTATTTAAATCTTGGAAAACGCTTCTCATTTATTTAGTATGTAATATATTTTAAAATCATCAATTTATTTATTTAACAAAAAAATAAAAATTTGTTTGGTTCCTAAAAAAAAACATATGGAACTGAATTTGGTAATTGAGAAATATTATTAAATAATTTAAAATATTAATGTGTAATGGCTTTTAAAATCATTAGCTAACAATTAAAATAAAAATGGTACATGTCAAAAATAAATAAATAAAAAAATATTGTAAAATAATGTTTATTCAAAAATAAAGTGAATTCTAAAATAATAACTCAATGTGTTTAAATATTTATTTAGTAACTTACATACAACAATTTAAGAGGCCGATAAGAACGTATAAAGGGAATGTATCAAATCACAATTTTATTAGACATTACGTGATCCAATATTATTAAAAAGAAAAACCACATTTAACAAACATATAATTTATTTGACCTTATCGGAAAGGCGCATATTAATATAATTATATACACTGTCGAGCTGACTACGCTAAACTCCCTCTAGAGTATAGAATAGTCAAGGGATATATATTAAGGCGTTGTCGCTTTAGCTGTGATTCTGGCAATTGCCAGCAAGCTAAGTTATCTGGCAATTGAGTTCACAACTTAATAGCCTGTGCAGCAGTAGCAGCACGTCTTTGCCTTTGGCTCACACACACAAATGAATTATTAAACGCCGATGGACAACAGCGCCAATTATTTCACATGAGGGCGCATCAATACACAATGAAGACGGACGTCATTGGGCAGGGGGCGCAATGAGGCAGTCAGTAACAGCTACATATCAATAGCCAAAGCAAAGTTGGCCAAAATTAACAGATTGCATACCATGCAAGTTAAAACTGAAACCCGCACGGACTAATGGGCATAACACAGACACACACAAAGCAATTTTGGATATGCCGAAAACCATTCAGCAGTATTTTTAATTTTACCCGTGTGACCCAAACAGCCAACCAATCGGAACCCAACAGGATGCCTATATTTGACCTCATCCCTTATGTATGTGTGCGGGAACTGGGGGCAGGCCAGCAACTTTGGTTAATTTATGTGCGCAAATTATCAGCGAACCTTGGGGCCAAAGTCAAACGCAGCGATTTTGTGCGCAAATGCTATATAAATGCGATTTTTGCTCCACACCCTCTGCACAATCAAATTGCTTAATATGGGTATACATAACTGTATAGAGGCAATGTAGCACTCTGAAATTTATTTATTCCATCTTATTAAAATATACAAAATTATAGATGTAGAAACGAAATTATAAAGAACTCATATAACACTCTTGGAGAAGATTATTAACTTTTTTGTCCGCTTACTTTTTAAATTAATAGAAGGAAAGAGAAAACGAAAATACTTTCTCAATACAGAAGAAGTACAAAGCTAATATTAACAGTATATTAAAGTTATCTCATTGGCTTAAAAATATTAAAAAATGTCCAAATGCTCGGTTAATAAATACATTCTAGAAAAAGAGCACTGACTGCTTACAGGTTATCTACGCGTCGATCCAATACGCCTATTAAACTGTTTTATCCTTATTTTTTTGGTGCCTTTTTGCGTCTTTATAGTTATAATTTATGTGCGGCGCCTGAAAGCGGGCAACATTATTTTTGTTTATTGTTTGCCGAGCGACAAGCGCCTGTCATCGAACATGCGTAATAGTAAGCCGCTTATAGCAAATGCGTAATGCAATTATATCGATTTGGTGGGCATACCCCGGTTTGAGCTGTGATAATTTCCTAGGCTGCTTAGTTGCGGAAGGTGTATGACTGTGTTAGGCGATATGGAGCGTGCAACCGCTGCTAAATCGCTGTGATATATAAGAGGAAAACGTGCGCTGGTTAAGTCTCCAATTCAGCCGGAACCGCATAGATGTTGGTCGTTTTCTCGCCACCAGCGCTGCACAACAGCGATTGCTAAGGCAAAACACACAGAGCCACCCCTTTTACAGTTGCCCCCCTCACGAAATCCAATGAGGCGCAACATCTGCTGCTGTGACTCTGACTGTGGCAAAGAATGTGACAAAGTGGCAAGCATGGTCGAGCTTTTTGTGTTGCATCCATATAACTCTGTGTGACTTATGGTGCAAGCAATACAAGTGCCACCGGGGGCAACTGTAGCACACACTGTGTGCTGATGGGCAGTCAACGATAACAAGTTGACTGAATGTCGCAAAACGAGTCGGGTTCCATAGCATTTTATCAAGTGACAGAGATTGGCAGTAGAACATAAGCTTAGCTAGTTGTAAAGGAAAACGTTGTCGTATATCAAATAAATGTAATAAAAAAAAAACTAATGTGATTATCTATTTTCATTTTGAATATTCGTTTTTCTAATTGATTACACTTTGTGTACGAGGAGAATAAGTATAATCAACTTAACCAACAACATTGCGAAATGATTTTCGTTTGAAGTCTTTCAAATGATTTCCATCGTACATTTTGTGCATTGTTATCGCCACTTTTGTCTGGAATGGTTGCGGCGAATCTTAATTACAGAATGCCCCCGCCATTCCCGAAACAACTGCAGCAAGCTATCGAAGCATCTGATTGTGAGCTACCCAAATGCCCCATGCTGTTTCATGCAGCAACATGTTTGTGCAACCTTTGAATGCGCTTATGTGTATGTGGGTGTGGCGAGTTGTTGTTGTCGTTGAAACCCCCGAAGCTAGTTGAATGCCACATGCATACGCGCACACACTCAAGGTTAGACAGCAGGTTCATACACTAAATGTACTGAGACCAGATGATGGCCAACTATGTGAACAAAGAGATTTTGCACAGGCCGCTGCTTCTTACACGTGGCACACGTTGTTGTTGTTGCTGTTGTTACTGTTGTTGTTCTTGCTGGACGAGTTGTTTGCACCACGTTCTGAATAATGGATATGTATCGGGGGAACATTGAATGCCCTAGCTGAGTGGAGTGACATTATACGAGTTTTGGACTGCACCCGCATGCTTGAAATGTTTTCGGAATTGTTAATGTAATTACGCCTGAGAGCCTCCAGAAACAAAATGTACTAACTGAACGCCGTCAACTTACCGGACTAACCAGGTTAATCAAGTCAAGCCAAGTCGGTAAGCGCTTATAGGTGGCAGAGTGTGTGTGAGTTTAAAATGAATTTAGGGAGCCATTGGAGAGTTTGGTTTGGTAGTAGTTGGCAATTTGCCTAATTGCTGTTCAAGCCTCCCCCATTGCGGGAGAGCGAATGTGGGACAGAAGATGCAGAGAGATAGCTACATGGAAATTTTCTAATCAAGCGACGAGTTTTTCTTCATTTTGACACAGTATAAAATAACTTTGCAGACAGCAAAGCAGAGCGTGCGGAAAATTCATCAACCCAAAGGCAACTGAATCAAGTCAACTGAGTGGAGGACACCGAGCAGGAAGTGGGGACTAAAAGCAAAACGTTGGGAGTTTGGTGAGCACTTTTTGTGCCGAGTATATGGTATGACATGGAAAAATGGTTACAAAATGGCGGCAGCTGACTCAACAAACAAACATGCAGTCGACTTTATGTGTCTCTGTGTGTGTGCGTGTGTGTGTGTGTGTGTGTGTGTGTGTTGGACACACGCTGCTTCTTGGCCTTCATGCAAACTGTGGCCCGTCTTTCGCGATTTCTCTTATTCCATCCCTCACCGTTCACCCCACACCCCACACCCCTCACCCCTCACACCAACATCCAACCACCCCTCACCTTACTTTCTCTATAGCTGTGCGTATGTGACTTAAATTCCACTTTTTACATGTTGTGTTAAAAAGTTTGCAATTTTTTATACTCTGCTCAAGGCGACCATAAATATTTTATTAGCTTGGCAGCTTTTACATAAGCATGCAATACGAAATTATGGTATACTGTTGCATAGATATATCACATAGCAACGATGTGATTTTTCTACAGTAAGAAATATATATTCTGCAGTAAAAGCAGCTCTGTTAAAATTCAATGACGATGACTAATACATTTTAGACAGTTTTAAAATCCTTTTATAATATTGAGTATATTGTTAAAGATTTGTGCAGAATTGTTAAACTAGTAAGAACAAATATTTTTGGATTTTTTGTGCTGATTAAAAATACAAATAATAAATATTCTGATTATAGTAAACGAGGATTGATGAAAATCTTTGTAGAAAAGTTATGGTATGTTTCTGATGAGAAAATTTGCTGTCTACATGAATCTTAACATAATTTCTGATCAAGGCATAAAAGTTGTATTTAAGAGAGTATCCACGTTGCGTTGTGCAATTGCCTAAGCATTTTTGTTTTCAGTTGTCCTTTGCTGGTGCCAAGTTAGCCTCACAACCACATATATGTACATATATAATTCCGGTGCGTCTTTAGGTTGTTTACAAATTTTCAACTTGAAACGCCAACGCCAGACGGAGAATCAAAACGCAGCGGGTGAATATGCTTTTTGTATCCAGTTCTTGGCTCTGAAAATAAAAACAACTAGTCAAAAAGTTTACTGCGTTTGGCAGCAGCTTGCAGTTGTGCCTGCTGTGCGGGTGTATGTATGTTTGTGTGTGTGTGTGGCTTTGGGTGTCTGGATGTTTCTGAGTGTGTGCGTCACCATTTTGTTAACATATTAACAAGGGTGCGTGACACGATTTACAGTAGCTAAGTCGAGCAACAAGAGCAACAACATTATGTTGCTTTGTGCCATTTGCAGGCAGTTGATAAAATAATATTGTGTACCTCGAGGGGCATACAAAATGCACTGAAAACTAATTAAATGCCATTGCTGTACAACAAAGCAAATAAATACACATAACTCGCATGTTAATCAACACATGTATTTCAAAGGAGAAGAACTGAGATAGAAATTAATTACATTTAATCAAGTGCCAGCGGTGAGCGTCAACATTCGTTTGCAAAAGTTATTTGGGGCAAGTCTGAAACTACAGCAATAATGCTGAGTGTATATTTATGTGTGTGTGTATTAGTCTCTAGCTGTCTGTGTGTGTGTGTGGCAGATGGACAGTCGGCTCTTTGTGTGACATGTGGGTGAGTGGCGGAACAGCAGGTGAATTGCCTGGACAGCACATTTAATACCAAAATTGACATTAAATTGCTTGTGACCTGAGCCCAACAGCGATTTTGCTTCAGCTGCTGCTCCTGATGTTATCGACTTTTACGACAATTCCAATAAAGTAACAGCTCAGACGATATACACGTCTGCCACTGACATCCCAAGGCGGCAAGAGGTGGAAGCATGGAGGCAGAGCGTGCCCTGAAAATGACAAAACGGCTTTTGTGCAAA